TCTCAATTCTTCTTCTTTTTTTATTTTTTTATTTTTCGTTTTCTCCTCTCAATTCTTCTTCTTCTTCTATTTTTTCTTTTTCTCCTTTCAATTCTTTTTCTTTGCCTCTTAATTCTTCTTCTTCTTCTTCTCCTTTTACTTTATGTTCTTTTTCTTCTCCTCTTAATTCTTCTTTTTGTTTTTGTTCTTTTTCTGCTCTTAATTCTTCTTCTTTTTCTTTTTCCTCTTCTTCAAAAGCCAGATCTGAAACAGATATCAGTGATCAAAGGATGCCACTTATTCCTCTTTACGGATGCTCTAAAAAAAAAAAACAGTATTATTTTTCTAATCTTTTCATGTCATCCATCTGTTTCAGTTCTCTTTACAATCATAATTTGTCATGAGACACAGTATTACATTATCTTTAAGTCAACAGAAACAACTAGCAATGTCGGTCAACCAAGTATCTAACAATTAATATAATAATGGGGGGATATTAGTTTTTAAGGCTCTCTGCCCATTTGGCTTAGTTCCATCTGAGATTGACATTAACTTTAGAGCTCCTGCCTCAAAGTAACCAACCTCACAGTGTTGAAAAAGGGGCGGGGCATCTACTTAAACCTATACAATGCCGCACAACGTCGAAGAACTACAAGCAGGCCAACCCAACTCACCGCGTCATCTGAGGAGGAGCGCACAGGCCTGAGGCCTCCCAGGAAATCTCCGCTCTCCGTGTGCATGTGACAGTTAACGCTGTGTAGAGCCTGGCCCCGTAGTGCAGCGTACAGCTGACACACTGTAGTCTTACCGATCCTGATGGGGGAGAGGAGTAGAACAAAACAAACATATAATGTGGTCAAATCTTATGATACATGTAACAGCGTATGAAATTTTTGTGAGCAAAATGTCGATACTCAGCCCCAAAACACATTAATAAAGCAAGCTCTCTACACTTAATAACCTAAATTATCACCCCAACAGACCTGATAGCATTCTGAAATAATTTCATCTTCTTGGATAGCATACCAGGTACTAAAACACTTACATACGAACAGATTTTTCACTGTCTATGACCTGACACCCATTTATACCTGAGTGAAGTGAGGAAAACAAATGCAAAGTAACTTTCGCAAAGACATAAAGTCCGGCCAAACATAAAAACTAAAAAAGTACAACGGAAAAGTCCAGAAAGTCAGAAGGAAACATGGCACCCTAGACTCACCCAGTGGACCCCACGAGTAGAACAGGCTCCTGAAATCGGATGGCTTGACCAATGAGCAGCGCCAGTCTCCGCATGCTGTACGTCCACACCATGTGCTGGAAGCCGTCCACAGACTGACCCATCACGGACTCCAGAGTGGCGGCAAACGGCTCTGGTGTTGCTTTGGTAACGGAGAACAACGAGCCCGGTGACACCTTGCGCTTCAAGTGTTTCTCCAGCACTTCCAGAACAATCTGCTCCTCCTCCGATTTGCGGACGCGGCCAGCAACCAGCATGTAACCTGTGAGAGCAAGTGAAAGTAAGTACTGTCAAATCTGTCCAAAACAACCAGGGGTCATCTTACAAAGGTGGTGGTCCTCTAGGACAGTGTCATTATAATATAATAAAAACACAAAAGGGAGGAAGTAGGAAGTGGTTGTTTGTACTTGCGGCTGTCTTTGACAGATGGTCGTCAGAGCAGATTTGACTAATTATAGCTGCATATATGAACCGCTCATTGGGGGTACCATATTTTATCTGTGAAACTTGAAGAAATAGTTCAACACTTGTTCTGTTCTAAAACTGTTGCCAGGGTCAATCTGTGAGACCCCTTTACAGATCAGGAGTCAGAATGCACTATTACCTCCGGCCCCCAGCTAAGCAGGAAACAACATCCAAGCAGAACGACGGCAATTCTCGATTAAAAATTTCCCAGACAGAAATGAAACTAATGTCTTTTGCACGCTAGAGCAAAGAGCTTTACCATTACACCATGGGGGCCAGTGAACTGCATCAACAAGAGACGCCCTCTTCCAATCCTAAACAACAGAGACCAAAGCCAAAAGAAAATCAACATCAATCTCCCACACACCCAGAAAGCTGTTTGTGATTTTTTCTTAGTCCAACAACTCACCATGATCAGCCAGATGTTGGTCCCAGTCGTAAAACTTCTGTCCCTTGCCCGCCTCGGGGCAGTTGTAGCGCTGGGCCCAGCGGAACAGATCACGCAGCGTCATGAAGCCTTGCTTGCCAGAGAAAATGCTTGATCCACGTCGCCGAGTCTAACGATGAATATGATTATTTTTTTTAAAGATAAAGCACAAAACCTAGAACCCAGGGGAAAAAAACCGTAACCTTTGTGATAATGCAAGAGCCATTACTCACATTGGAGAGATTTGTGTACGAGAACTACAGCAACTCAGCACAAAAACAACTGCAGAAACACAGAAAGGAAAAAGAAAACAAACATTAAGAAACTGGCTAATAATTTTTTTTAAACACAGACAGGACCATGGAAAATAAGACAGGAAACTTGTACAGCTTGTTAGAAAAAAAAAGTAAAAAAAGAAGTAAGATGATTTGTAATTCAAAATGTTTGTAAAATAACCTTCAGGACATTTAGCAGGATTATCTTCACAATCAAGAGACATAAAATAGGTATTTTGTTCTATGAAACCACTTCTGTAATCAAACCTCTTAAGTTCTAATAATCAGTCTAGCTACTGACCTGAAGTTCCAACATGACAGCCACCAGCTTGCGAGCAAAGGAGAGCGGGATGCCGCAACGTTCGTGCAGAATCGTCTCCAGCTCTTTCGGGGGAATCTCATCAAAGTGAAGCTCGATAAATCTGTTACGGAAAGCTCTTGATAGAACCTGAAAAAAAATGGCATGTTTCTTTGCAACTTGAGTATTAACCTTAAGATGATTAGTTAAAAGAACGCAACATCCCAACTTTTACTTTGCTGATAAACAATCTTAAAACCTTCCACTTGCACATAACAATTGATAGCACACAACAAATGTGTATACCTTTAATATAAAAGACAGATTTCTCACGATTTATAATTATCTTGGTGTAAAAATAAGTACATAAAAATAAGGTACTCTTTTGGGAACACCAAAACGAAAATACTCTTGATTATCATTGGAACAAGGACAGTAAAAAAAAATGAAAATGCAAAGAAGCCTATGTCGATCTGTAAGAAGCTAATAAATCTTCTGATTCCTGAAACAAAGGGATGAGATTGTTTTACTGATTCTTCACTAATCACAAACACATGTTCCTCTTTTGCAATTAAAAATCTGCACTTGAGACATTTAAATGGAATAAATATGTGATTCAATCAACAAAAATAATAGCAGCTCATACCACAACCGCAGCACCGAAAAAAAAAAAGCAACAGCGAGATGCCATATCGTCATGGCCATAACACAATTGTCCAAGTATTTTAAATGTAGTTACTTTTCACACCCTCATCAACACAATTCTTAAGTTATTTTCTGTTGCTTCAAAAAAACTTACACAGTGCTTACGTAAGTCAACTTTACGACCTTAACAAAAGTGAAAATGTCTTAATAATAGGACTTTGAGAATACGAAACAAAGCCCAGCTAAACTGAGGATGCAAAACAAGAAACTGCAGTTTTTACAACACTCATGACGAATAAAATTGTGTTATAATCGAGATGAAGTGACCGACTGACCTTCCGACCTCCGTACAATCCAGGCGGGTTCTGCGTGGCAAAAAGCTGGAATTTTGGGTGAGCCTGGACAACTTCCTGAGTCTCTGGGATGAACAACTCTTGGTTATGGTCAAGCAGCTGGACGAAGAAAGAGTTTTTGTTTTCGTGTTAGTGAAACAATAAGACAATAAAAAAGCATTAAGACAGATGAATGCAGTTCCTAAGACCCTCGAAAACATAAAGACCTTTGACCTTTCCAGCCCAATGCGTGTATATTTTCAGCAGCGCTTGTACCTCCCACTGTCCAAAAAGCGTATATTCTCAGTTTCGGGGGGTACCGAACTTGCAAATTTGTCAAAAATTAGCGAACCTAATTAAACTTTAATTTTCATATTTGTTCATTTTCTGAAATGTCACTGACAGGTGAGCCGTGCTGTACTCACCCTATTGAGAGCCTCCAGCACATCAGTTGGCGCAAGGTTGAGTTCGTCCAGGATGATCCAGTGTCCTTTCCTCATGGCCTCCACTAGGACACCTGGAAAAATACACAGACATACGAGATGAACATCAGAGTTCGAGTTCAAGATAAGCAGCATGACGGTTGTCCAGTGAAGACAAAATGCAAAACAGACATGGCAAAGATCAAAGATTTAATTTTTCAAAATTACTGAAAAATCTAGAAAACTGGTGTCTGTTATTAAGATTCCCTGAAGATGAAAGTGCCATGTCTATCTATAACAAGACGACTATTTTTTAAATAGAAACATCTACGTAACTTGCACCAACCGCTAACCGTTAAAAACCACAATTTCTTCTGTTCATTCGCGATATAGCATTATCTAATCAAGTCAACAAGCCAAGACTTTGTAATGAGGTAAAATCTATTTAAAAACCTGGTAATCTGTAGCCTACCTTCCTTGAAGACGAGTTTTCCGTGTTCGTCTGCGACATAAGAGCCGATGTACTCCTGCAGGTCAGTGTGTTCGTGGTTGTTCACCCTGACACACACGTTGCCGCTCAGACGAGACAGGTACACGACCAGCGAGGTCTTGCCCACTGACGTCTCACCCTGGAGCAAAACTGGTTGGCGCCTGGGGGGAATACACAAAGAAGGGGGCATTCGAGTAAATTTGCCATATACGGCGTATTGACACATTTACTACCATGTTTTGTCAGAACAACACAACCAAATGTCATTTGGTATATTACAATAAGGCAGAAGTCAATGAATATGAATCTCGGGGGTAAACCCACTATGCCGGGGCCTTCTTTCAGTACGAAGTCTAAAAGTGACATATGTAACTATATTGGTCATTAAACCAAAACAAGTGAACCTATTTTGATAGTCTTCATCTAATGAATCAGTTATTGCAGAAAAATAATTTGACGTTGAAGTCGTCACAAAGGAATATTCCCAAGCCACTGTCAGCGCCTCACCAGCACAGCGGTTCCGACCGCTTGTCAGAGATAAGGAGTTAAATACCCTCATCAATTTCCCTTTTATGCTTATTCTATTTTAAGTAGAAAAACAAGTAAAAAACATGGCTTACCCAGCAGAAACAACTCGTGCCAGATCCTTCAGGTTGAGCTTGACCGATGGCGTGAGGATGTAGTCCTGGGGTGTGCTGGGCTTGAGACGGCCGCGAGAGATCCAGTAGTCGGCCACCGACACGTACGAGGCTCCGCCCCCCTCCCGGACGCCCTCGTCGGGCCGCGGCAGTTTCTGGCTGAGGATGGCCTTGGTAGCGGTGCTGGTGGCACTGCCCAGGACGTGGCGACAGATCAGATTGTCCACTACCGGGTGAGATGACCGGTCCAGCTGGCTCAGGAAACTCAGGCAGAAACCCTAGGGGGGAAAAAATAAAAAAATAAAACTCCCCAATATTTGTTTGAGCAAACAGAAGCACCACATCAACACAAAAATGGTCGTTTAGAGAAGGAAAAAGCAAGATAGACAGAAAACACAGAAGGAAAAAAAAGAAGTAAGACCTACAGCCGCCTTAGCAAAGAGTGACATTTCACTCCAGGGAGGGGAAGTTCTATAGCAAATATCTCTATACTGGCCTGCTGGGATTTTGTATCACGCTCAGTTCAGGTTGGCCCTGAAAGGCAGGTTCGAAGCAGCCTTCCTCCCAAAATCATCTAAACTAAATCAATTTAGGCCTAAAACACTTACAAATTTAAGAAACAAAATTTTTAAAATATAACAATAACAAGGCTTACCTCATACAGGGAGCGGGGTACACTTCTGCAAGGATTTCTGGCACTGTATCTGAGGGCCCGGCACAGCGTACGAAGACTGAGGAAAACAATGGATAAGTGATAGTCAATATGCTATTTTAGAATTACAAAGTTCTTTCTGACAATTTTGGCTGTTTTGAGTTACTAAGACCATGAGGTCAGAAACCAAATGTTTTATCTGTTTTATCAAAATCGAGGTGTTCTTTTTATATTTTTATTTTTTCATCTGTAATTCTTGTAGGCTGCATAAATGGCTAGAGAGCTTCTAAAGTAACAACACCTTTCAAATTTCAACAGAGCTGTAAACTATTTATCAACTCAAAATGCCGTTATAAAAGAAAAGAATAAAGAAAAACAATTTTTTTTATTCCTGACCTGTAATGAGGCTTGTGACCAGTGCCGTCAGTCAGTTTGTCAGCGACCTCGCCCCGGATGGTCAAGTAGAACTTGACGATGCCCGTGACCTGCTTGGGGGACAAAGACAGGCCCTGGAGGTAGTCCCGCACCAGCGTGGACAGATCCTCTGAGTTCTCAAGCTCTTCCACAAAGAACTCTGTGAACCTGAAATATTTTACAAAGACAGAGGCAATGTCTACTCACAGCACTTTGTGAATCTGAAATAGTATACAAAGTGAGTGGCGACATAAACATTTGAACAGAAAAAAGTCCTTGAACATCTTGTTTTCACTGAAAAAACAGAACACAAAAGTCTAACAAAAAAGAATTTACTTTGAGAACCAGTGCAGACAAATCTTCCAAAATCTCAAGCTCTTCTACAAAGAACTCCATGAACAATGATGACTATTTTGCAAAGAGCAATATTCCCAATCTGTGTGTGAAAAATGGATGGATTACACACTGTAAATATTTTTCTTTTCCATTGGTACATTTCAGATCAGTAAGGAAGCAAGGTGCTACAGCCTATATGCACCTGAGCTCCTGCCCATCAACTGAAGAACATACACCCAAATGCTGACAGGTGTATTTGGTTCACAAAAGGGTAAAGTTGTTGTAGCTATCATCGATTCAGAAAGGGTAAAGAAAGTCCATTGGGTTTAAGTCATTAAAAAAACAACAACAAAAAAGAAAGAAACAAGACAAAGGCAGAGGGATCAGCAAATAACACATCAACAGATAAGACAACAACAAACAGCGTCCGTCGAAGATAATGAACAATCCTCACCTGTTCCTGATGCCGGCAGGCAAATCTTTCTTTCCCACGTCAGTGGCCGGGTTCATGCAGGCAAACAGGCGGAAGTCTGGATGGCGTTTTACGGGGTCAATGTCCCTGGAATAAAATATTGAGATATTGAATGAGTACAGTGTCATCTATATTGAGCATTACAATAAATCATGCAGCAGCATCAGTAGCAATATCCAAAGGAAATGAGTCCGTCACTTGACAGATGACAGCATTTGTGCTGCATTGGTTTACGTTTTACATAGCCCAGCAAAGTAATTTTATACGAGGAGCAAAAAACTTATTTGGTTTCATCATGCAGTAACCAGGTGGCTAGTGGGTTGTTCAACAACTTTTAAGAGCACTTGTAGTCAAAATTCAGACCTGTCATTGACTGAGCATATGAAATGAATAATTTAATTAAATATCACTTCGACAAATAATTTTTTGGGGGTACTTTTGTGGGTTAGCCGGTCCTGTCATAAGGGCAACCATACTGTGTTCAGTGATGATGACATATAAAGCGAATTAGGCTAATGCGTGACAACAATCCAGCAGTGAGTGCAAGAAAAGAAAAAGGGTCAATGCTATGCATATTGAGTTATTGAGAACAGAATACTTGTATTTCTTGAGAATAGATGACTGGTACTTTGAAAATTTTAGAGTTGCTACAAGGCGGCAAAAGGGAAAAAAAAAATCAACTCTTCATATCACCACTCACCCCCTCTCTGTGAGCACGACGGAGCCCGTGGGACTCTCCAGGAGACCTGCTAGGCTGTCCAATGTCTCGGCCGAGGCCAGGTTGATCTCGTCCAGCAGCACCCAGTGACCCTGACGCAATGCCTTGACCAGTGTCCCCTGACGACGAAAACATTGTTGTATTATCGGCACAATGAGTTCTATTTATATAAAGTAGCCACACAATGTGTAGATATCTCAAAAAGGACTCTGGCCCAAAATTAGAGGGTGGGACACTAGATCTGTAAAACGATATTAAAATCACGGTGGACTATAATGCCGAAAGATTTTTTAAAAGTCTTACCATATTGTTGACACAGCTCTAAGATAAAAAAGGGCAAAAAATTGGTGGGGACTAGAATTTCAAAACTGGAAATACCGAGTTTATTTGTTTTATGTTTCTAAGGGTGAAAGAGACAAGTTTGAAGAAAATACTACATATTTCATACTTATGCTTTTATGCTGAAGTCTACAGGGTTCTTCTTTTACTACTTAGAAATCATGATGATGATGATGATGATGATGTTTGGACAATTTCATTTCTACAAAATACTTCCCAACCCATAATACAAGAGTTCTCAGAGTTTGTTTTTTTTGCAACTTTACAAAATCGATGACGATGATGATGATGATGACACGCGACAAAGACAATGATGATGACAATGATGAAAAAGAGGAGGAGGATGGAAACAAAGCCTTGACCAGTGTCCTTTGACAAGGCAAACACATGATAACCTATCAGTAAAGATGATGTTGATGTTTGCAAGGGGGAGGATGATGGTAATGACATATTCATTTGTTTCAGTTTACTTTATAATGTTCATGATGAAATATAAGAGGTAAAACGAAAGGCAATTTCGAAAATGCTACAAACAATATGCAAGTCTCCATATATTTTTTACTACTTTGCAATGATGATGACGATGACAAATGATGATGATAATGAGGCCGATGACTTCAATGACAATGTTGACGACAACAAAGATGGAGATTATAAAGATGACGACAAGATCTAGAATACCTCCAAAAAGGAAAATGCAAGAGCGCTGTTAGCCTCCTTGATCTGGACGCGTAGGACATGAATTCGCTTCAACACTGCAGACCACTGAGCATACTCCGCAGTTGCTGGGAACAGAACGAGACACAATGATTGTACATCTGTAAATGTTATACGCCCCCCCCCCCCCCCCCCCCATTAACCCTCTTAGCACCATAAATAGGTCAGCAAGTCAACACAGCAGAACCAAAATGACAGCCTTCTGATGGCTTCCCAGAACAGAATTATTTCTGTGTTTTTAAGAGGTTCAGGGGTGTAGCAAAGAAATTGTTTTTGCCTTTGATCTAAGCGACACATTTCAATGAAATTTCACATACAGAGACCTACAACGTCAGCATCTAAATTCAGAATGGAATGTTCTTATTTCTAAGCCTGCACTAAAGGCCGGTGTTTTAAGCCGGTAAAAGCCGGTATGGCTCTACAGCAGGAAAGCAGGTATGGCAACATGATGGGAAGGCCAGTTTATGCCAGTATGTCTCAAAAAGGGCTACCATAATGTACATCATTTAGGAGACCCTTACTGTCAGAGAGATCTCACGCTGGATGGGATACAATATCCCCAGCAGACAAATGTGCTCATTAAAGTAGCATTTCCCAGCTCAGAATTGTACTTCTTCTGCCTCAGACAGTAGAGAGCCTAACCATTACACTCCAGAAACTGGTACACACATTGAGAACCTGTTTGAATAGGACATCGGTCCCTACAGTAGTGGTGTGTCGTCCAATCAAGGGGAGAGAGAGCAACAAAATAGTTGTCACACTTCATCAATTTTGAGAAAGCTTTGTTTCGAAGTTTTTAACCTCGTTCTGTCCTATAACACATCGAGACCCCAGTGTTTTCTAGTCGTATCTCCATTTTTAATAACAGTGAAAACAGTTCATAACAAAGAGTGAGCTTAAGAAGATGTCACATTTTCAGTGTTTCTCACCTTTTAAAATGATATGCTTCATCAGACGATAATGTCATAAATTCTTCATGAGGTGTAACTAAAAAAATATTTTTTAACACATGACTGCTATTTTTTTCCCATGTTTTCTTCAAATATTACCATCAGGGGACATTGTCAAACAAAAAATGTGGGGGCTCTCGTGGCCTTGAGGTTAAGGTGTTGGCCTCTCATTCAAAAGGTCCCGGGTTCGAATCCAGGTAGCGACCGAAAAATTTTCTTCTCTAAATTTGTCTCCTTTCACCTCATTTCCTGCTCTCTAGCAATGTTCTGTCGTCTTCTTTCGTCTCCTCTTTCTGCCCCCTCCCCCTCATCTCCTTTGCCCCTTCCTCTGGGCTCCTGATTCTTTCTGCAGCCTTTCTACTGATACTCCTTCGTTTCTTCTTACTGCTGTCTTTCAGCCACACCCCTGATCTTCTGGTAGGAAAGATCTACACCTAGCCTTCTCGGACAAGGGCGAAAAATCTTGGAGGGCCCGTGTGCAAGTTGCGCACGTTAGAGATCCCTTGGTGGTCTAAAATCGATAAGAGTAGGCTTCAGCCGCCACCCGGGCAAAATTCAAAATTTTCCTACCAACTGAAAATATTAGGTGTGTCCCGCGCGCTCATATGACCTATGCAGTTGCGAGCGCCGTAAAACACTTTACAAAATCAAAAAACAAACAAAAAAGTTTAAACATATAAATCTGCTACAAAGTGCAATATTTCCACTCATAAGACAAATACCGACTATCAAATGGATGAAATGATGTGTTAGTGAATTACCAGCATCCAACTTGTTCAGCGCCTTCTTAACGGGAGTTTCTATCAATGTCAGAAGATTGGACCACTGCTTCTTAGCGAACAAAGTCTGGAGGAAAAGAGGAAAAAACAACATACTGTCAATAAAGTCGAGATTTTCACAGAGGTATGGTGTGGACTATCAACAAAATTTTTAATTTTGTCTTACTTAAACACACATTTTTACTAAAAATAACTTTTTTCCTTCTATTTTTTTTTTTTAAACGACAAACAATCTGAAATAAGGAAAACAGAATAATTGAAGAATCCACAATGTACATAACTGATAAAGTTGAGGCAAATATGTGAGAGCATCTAAATCACCGTGTCTTTATTTTTAGGTTCCCATTAATCACATAAGGGGACAGTCAGTAGACATCAAGAGCCTGCCGGTTGTGGTGTAATAATGGTTAAGTTCTTCGCCCTTGTATATAGAAGACATGATCACAATTCCCACGTGGAGGAGTTTTTCAAATTATTTTTATTTTAATGTAAGAGTTTCTACACCCCCATCGACACAATTCAAATCATTAAGGGGGCAGGCTTCCGACCCTGCCTATCAGTGTCAATGCCGGCTGAGGGGGATACATCCCAGCAGGACGGCCAGGATACTCAATAAAAATGTTCTCCCTATTCAGGAATTGAACTGAGGTCTCCTGCATGCCACAGCAAAGAGCCTAACTAATACAGCCGCAAATTCAAATGACATAGTGTTCAAGAGAGCAGAAAACATTTTCAATAATACTTGCAGTTTGTTTGGGGTTGTTTTTTGTTGTTGTTTTTTTTTTGGGGTGGGGGGGGGT